TTTCATTAAAGGCAGAATGTGTTTTGTGGTGAAAGAAGAAATGTAGGTCAGTACCAAGAAATCAAGTGATATCAGGTGCAAGTTTATATATATATATATATATATATATATATATATATATATATATATACACACACATATATAATATATAATATTTTTATATATATATAAATGTATTTCATCTGAAGATTGAACTATGATAATCCAAAGGATGGATATTAGATTTGAGACAATTCAAGACAGAAATTCCTACTGGAGTCTTTTTTTCTTCTTTTTTAAATTTTAATTATGATTTTTATTGTGAAAATACCGTTCAAAGGGGTTATAGTTACATGAGCAAGGTAATGAGTACATTTCTTATCCAGCATTGTTGCCTCCTCCTTTGTTTTCCCCCTACCACCCCTTCCCTCCCACCTCCTCAGCCACCCCTGCCACCTAAATTGAAGCCAAGTCAGTCAGTTGAATTGTTTGTGTCAAGTGAAATCCATCAGTACTTTGGATTTTGCTGTCCCTTCTGAATTGTCAAACATTATGTATTATAAATCCCAGTTCCCATGACATGGTCAAAAGGCAAAGATAGAGAGTAAAGAATCCCTTAGATGATCATAAAACTTATCCAGGTCTAACTATACTATAACTCTATCCTTCACAGTATATGCTATAAAAATAAAAGAAAAATGTCTTTATGCAGAAGAAGATTAAGTACTGTTGACCTGCAACAATAAAAGTTTGTCATGATAAAACCCAGGCACATTAACTTGACCATGATTTTTCTGATATTTTAAATATTTCTTCAATGCCAATCTGGAACTGCTCCCCCAAATAAAGAATCACACAAAGATTAGGAAAGACACTTGCTTAAAGCTTTATTTTTTACTTTATTTTTTAAACATCCTACATTTGAGAAGCAGTAGCTTTGCCTTGCTAAAAGAATTAGCCACAATGTATAAGTTGTCCATGCAATTAATGGGATGAGTTTTCAGCTCTGTTTTAAAGTTGTTTTGTTTTTTTTTTTAAAGAGCTTTCCAATCCCTGGATGTTTTGAGGTATTTCAAGACTAGTGGAGTTGGGGATAATGAGTAGTGTCTCAAGCCTATCTGACCACAGCACTCAAAAGAATGCTTTGTGGGAGTTATGCTTAGTGTACCTGAAGCTCTGAGAACTTGCTGGCTGGGCAGTATCCATGGTTACAGTGATTTCAGAGAAGTGGGACTGTGACACCTCAGTTCCCTTTAAGCAGACTTGAAAGTACTCGGTAAAATTGCAGAAGTGGTAATAGTTACAATCTAAGGAATAGATTAGAGGTCTCATTTTTGAGTTGACTATGTGGTCACATGTAACATTCAAATGTATTACAGGGGGCTAAAATTTAATATCAGATTTCTTTATTCTTAGGTCAAGTTGAATTTAACGTGAATTGAGAAATAAAGGTGACAAGCCATGGACTGGTGCCTTGAACTCCAGCTACACAGGTGGTGGCTATTTGGAGGCTCCATCCTAGTCTGAAGGCAATCAGAGCATAAAAGTATGAGACCTTTCATCCCCAAAATAACCAGCAAAAAGCCAGGCTGGAGAGATTGCTCAAGTGTCAGAGCACCAGCTGAGCAAGCAAGCTATAATCTCAGTAGAGCCAAAAAATAATAACAGAAAAGAAACAAGAAAAAGAGAGATGAGGAGTAGGAAGGAAAGGAGGAAGATGAAGAGAAGGAAAGAGGAAGAGGAGGAAGGAAAAGAGGGAAGGAAGAAAGAAGAAAGGTAGAAAGAAAGAAATAGCAAGAAAGAAAGAAAGAGAAAAAGAGAAAGGAAGAAAAAGAAAGAGAAAGGAGGAGAAGGAGGGAGTGATTATTTTACCCAGAATATGGTCTAGCAATTTATAACATTTGAAATACTATTTTATGATTGTATAGGGAAATGCTTCTCTTAATGCTATTTCATTAATATCAATTACCTACAAAGTGAATTTCTAAAAATGTCACAAAATAAATGGTAAGGAATATTGCAGAATCAAATAAATGAGTATTATGAGAACTCATGGTAACTCTTGGATGGAATCAGATAGCTAATGTTAGCTCATTTCTTCAAGATTAATTTCTGATTTTTAATGCAAAAATTCAGAAGAGTCTGTCTTTTTGAGAAGTCTTATACTATTTGATATTTTAAAGAAGTTTTATTGGACCACTTATAATTGTTCTATGAATTATTAAACTACTATCAAGTCATACAGTAAAACAGAAGACAACCCTATTTCAGCCTCATAAAAAATAAAGTGTGAAATATTTGTGTGAAATTTTCCAAGAAGATGAAGTTCCCAAAATATGAAAAATTTAACAGTTCCAAAATATAAGAAATAAGAATATATAACAAGAAAATATAAGAAATACACCACTTGCTCTTAATAGCCAAGAAACAACAGATTTTACTGAAAATTGAAATGTGTTTTAATTTATTAATACTGGAATATTGCAGTCTATATGAATGGTTGCTGTCTTGAAGTGATTTTTTTATATCTTCTATAATCTATGTTTTTTTTGAAGCCCACATCATTTCTCAAAGAAGGGTTTCTAACTAAAAATCTGTTAGAAAACCCTCCTTATGAAAACACACCATTCCATAGAGGCAATGCATTTCTTCTCCCAAGTGTTTTGACTGGTTTTTGGTGTTCTGTGGCAGTGGTCTTTTTTCACAACACCTGCTACCATGGCAACCCCAACCTCGCATGGCCATCTACGTCTTGACATGGCACCAAGCAAGTGGAAATGGAGTTTAATTTCCCATTCATGTATGAAAGGAAAAAGAAGGCTGAAACAATGGTGTCATTAGGATCTAAGTATAGATTAGTATGAAAGATGTACGTTCTGAAAGATCCAAAAGGCAGCATTTGCACAATATGTCATCCAAGAGTAGCTGCAGGATGGAGATAAAAACAAATGCAACCAGAGCTCTTCATTGAATCAACTCATTTGAATGTTAAAGCGATATTTACACGTAGGACAGATCACAGTAGATTGAATCTCCAGACAGATAACTATTCACCTCATTTTATCAAGACAGAGTCCTAGTGAATGAGACTATTCATTTGTCTTTTGGTTGACAGTACACCCAGAATGGAAGCTCTCCAGGGAACAAAATATATGACTCTGGTTTCTATTATTACAATGTATTAGATCTTTCATATGTAAGATTTATTTTTTATGTTTTAAAAAGAAGTTCGTTTTCATGTATGAGATAAAGCCTACCTCAAGAAGAGTTTGGGAAAGTTTAAAAGAATGTTGACCAGAGAAAAACTTGTACCTCAAAGCCAGTACTTTGGACTTCTAAGAACAACCTGAGCAAAGGATGGTTTTTGTCTTTGAGACTCTTTCTGGTCATCTGTGATCTCAGTCAAAGAGCAGACTGTGTTGCTCAGTGAACTCCAACTCTCTAGTACAATGGTCCCTTTGTAGGACTGGCTTATATAAGAAAGAGAGGCACAGTAGGAACCATATGTTATATAGGAAGACAACGCTTAGAAGAGATAAAATATGAGCAAGAGAGGAGACTGGAGGCCAAAGAGCGGCTGGGGAGTGTTCCCATGCCAGTCCATTGAATGTAGGCTTGAGATAAATGACACCATTAGGCCCAGGGAGACTATTATAGACACACCTTGCAATTTTTCTGTAATCAACTGCATAGATCTAGATGAGCTTGGATGAGTCCTTTCTGTTCTCTTATCCTCTCAATTTAATGACCAGTGATGAGCTATAAGATTTTTTTCAACAGCACTCAAGGAGGCACTGGATCAGGAATGAGTGACTGACTGTCTCTGGCTGGATGACCTTGGGCATATGACCTTATGATTCTAGGACTCAATTTCCTCTTGCTAAAGTGAGAAGTTAGCTTACACAGATGACAAAGTCTGTATGTGCTCAATGACAAAGTTCCTAAGACTCAATGACTTTAAATTTATACGAAGTATTTGTGAAATACTTCTCCTCAGGGAGCTCATACTAGGGACTGTGGGGGAAAAAAAGAATTCATGAATATGCATGTGGTTCTCCATCCATCTCAGCCCCATTGATCTTACAGGCAAGTCATCACTGGCATTCATTTTTTCCTTTCATTCCAGCTGCAGCTGCTGTATAGTTCACACCCTTTGAAATGCAATGCAGCAGCCTCCTGATTGCTCTGTCTAGTCTAGATGCCACACTGCCGTCATGTTCGTGAAAACGGTTGTCATTCACTACTTTAATGTTTCTCCTCTGCTGCTAGCCAAGGTCTACCACCAGAGGGGTCATGAAAAAACATCCCCAACATCTCCAGTTTCCTTCCCAGCCTCATCGCCTGTCACTTTCCATCTATTCCTTGTGGGTATCAACCAATCCCATGGACTTATTCCATCATTTCTCCTATGTGAACTTGGTAAACTTTTATTTTTCCTTATAAACTTACAAATTCCTTGTGTTCCACTTTTTAGAATTTCTATCATGTTCCTGTCTGTCTTAAAAGTTTTATAGTATATTGTAAATATCTCTTTTATGTTCATCAATACCATATAAATTATACCATATCCTATCACAATCTATCATATCTCCATATTTTTCATGTTGTTTCCTCCTGCAGATTTTGAGCAAAGTAAAAGCTAGGATTGTGTTTCATCTAACTTTGTACTTTTAAGGCCTACAATAGTGATTCTTATACAGTTAGATGTTCAAGAAATGGAAGCAAATATGGATTCTGCTATCTAGAATTGCTTTCCAATGCCATTTTAAAAAAAGGAACACCAGAAAATAAACTCTGTAACAAAATACCACACCACATAGCGATGCACCTGTGTTTAGATTTAGGTGAGCTGTACTTTCTGTGCGTATCATGGAAACTCATAAAAGGCTTGTGCGGCAGGAGCATTACAAAATGTGCTGTGTAAGGTAATGCTGAGAATACGTGCTAACTGCCCGCCTTAAATGGTAGGCATTGACAGGACAATGGTCAGGAACAAGGTTGATTCCTGAAGCCGTTCCTACCTGTCAGATCTGCGCTGGGCCACCACCCCAGGTCACAGGCTCTGCAGGTGAACTCGTCTTGCACAAACTCATTCTCTTTGCAGGCTGTGCAGATCCAACAGCAGCTCACTTCTCCTTTCCGTATGACCTGCAACACAGGAATGTTTCACATGCTTTAGAGATGGCTTCCAGGAAAAAGGCTTCCATTTCAGATGGGGACATGTCCTCACATGAGAGGAAGTGTACTAGTCAAAAACTGTTGAAGAGCGGTTTTATATCTCAGCAGGTTAATTTCCCTCTATTTTCAGTTTGATTGGTGAACACTTTCCACAGTGGTACAACATAAACCTCAATGTCAAAACACACCACATTTACAGTGAGTTTCTTGTAGACAGCAGACAGCAGGTCTTGCTTACATCTGCAGCTGGGAACTTTCTGCCTTTTACCATTTAGTACATTTACATTTACTATAATAATCAAATGACTAGCTATAAGTCAACCATAGCTTCACCTTTTTTTCCCTGTCTGTCCCATCTGTCTTTTTTCCCTTTCCCTGTTTTAATGTTATTGTGTTCATTTGTTTTTGCTTTTGTTTGTTTCCACACTTTCCCATGTCAATCTGAAGAATGGCTTATCAGATGTATCTCTTCTTTTTGTTTTAGTAGTTTTTCTAAAATTAACAACACATAGATGTCACATTCACAGTCTACATTGACATATATACTATGATTCTATTTTGTGGGCAATTCTATAATAGAAGGGATCCCCCAGGTATGTTTTACATTTTCTTTTTTCTTTCAGTTTACTGTTTTAATATATGTGTTGCAAGCATATATAATTGATCCTGAGGCTTGAATGGACGGCCTGGGCTCTATCCCTGAGTTTCTTTTACTCAAGGCTAGCACTTGAACCACAGCACCATGTGTGGATTGTGTGTTTTTTTGGTAGTTATTTGGAGATAATAGTCTCAGGGATTTTCCTGCCTTGGCTCATGCCACTGTATATTTTTATAATACCCTTTAAATTCAGTGAATTATCCTTTCTGATTATTTTATCAAATGAAGTTGACAGTTTTTGTTTATGTTTTGTTTGCATTTTATGCTCTTCAATGGTCCTTAGGGAAAGAATTATGAGTTGAAAGGTGTTTTTTTTTTCATTTTTATTGCTTTAGAGATGTTATTCTTTCCTTTCCTGCCTAACAGATGGTTTTTGATGAGAACTATGATTTTGTTGTCATTATGGTTCCTCTGTATGACTGATTGATTGACAGACTGATGGTTTGGGGGATTGGAACTAGGGTCTGGTCCATGTTAGCTTAGTGCTCTAGTTGAGCCACAGCTATAGCCCCTTCACTTTTAGTTTGCTTTTAAAAATTGAGTCTTGCACTTCTGCACTGGCAGGCCTCAGAGCAGGTTCCTCCCACTAAGATCCAGCCTCTGAGCAGCTGGGATTTATAGATATGTACCACTCCTCCTAGCCATGCATTCCCTTCCAGGTTGGTCATGCATCTAAAAATTTAGACCAAATACTCAATTATATACATTAATAGCTATTGAATGCTGGCTTCCCCCCGACCTTTCTTTAAGGAGTTCTGGAAAGCTATCAAGTTCCTTGTAGCTCAGTTTGCTTTTACTTTTTCAGAGCCAGTCTAGAATAGTCTCTGTTCTTGGAATTATTTAACCTCTTTATTAAGGTTTGAGCCTTCTGGCATTTTTATTTAATTCTGTGTGCATTCAATAACATTTCTCCACTCTGCTTGATCAGAAACCAGAATAATTCCTTGTTTTATTGACAGCTCTGGGAATTCATCTTCTTAGTCTTATTCTTTATTTGGGTGGTTAGTATTCCACTCTACTCACACACAGATTGATATTCAAGTACTCATGGTACTCCTTAAGCCAATTCCTGGGGCTCATTTTTTGCATAGATCCATCTCCTTCTTTATGCTGCACTGCAATTTCTAGCTGCATTTGATTTTCTCAAACTCCTGATCTTGTCTCCTTCAATTAGCAAGATGGCCAAGCTTTTGTCTTCTTTCTAGCTGAACACTCAGGAAATTGCTTCCAGGCAGAAAGCCTGAGTGATTTTAGGGATTACCTCGCTTGTCTTGTTCACTTCCTTGGCATCAAGGTCACACATGGTTGGCTAATGTTTGAAAACTGTTGTTTCGGATATTTCACCAATTGTTTATAGCAGAAGGTTCAAATAAGGACCTGTTACTCCTCATGTCTAGGAGCAGAAGTCCGTCCCTCACACCCAGCAAATCACCAAATACTTTCGTATGTAAAGTCAGAATTAAACTGCAAATATTGCTATTCTTTAACAGAAACTCTTCTTATTTAGGGAAATAAACTATCATTTTATGGAGAGAATTGACATGACTACTCTTTAGAATTGCATTAAACAATCAAATAATAGAATACTTTAAATCAATGTAATTTTCCTTTTCTTGTTTTATTACCCTATATCTTTAGAAAATAAAATGAAATCAAAGTTTTTTTAAAAATATTGTAGTATTCAATAGGCATGGGGAAATTACACCACAGATGATAATTATTTTCTAAATAATAAGAGAAATTGAATTAATAAAACATATGCTGTTTCCTTATTTTAATTAAGATAAGCAATACAGTAACAACTAATACAAAACACGGTAGGCAACTTCAAACAGCCTTTTGCTTTTCCCTCCCTATAGAATTAGCACAGCTAATTAGATAAATTCAAAAGATGATGATGCTAAATAGATTTACTAACCCTATCGCTGCCAGTACAGTTAGAGCCTCTCAATTCTCAATCCTCCAGTCAAAGTTTGGAGATCAAAAAAAGAATATCTGAACAGATTTTAAATCTTAGCACGAAATGGTGATATAATACTTCAATAGTTACTTTATGTATTTGATGGACATGTGGCAATGTTTCCATCATTACAGAATATACAGAGTGATATTACTTTTCCAAGTTTATCTAGCTGATTTCATATAACACATGTTTCATATTCTATCACACAATTAAACCCATTTCTCTTTCTGAAGACATTAAATTGTGATATCAACAGAAGTTTTATAACTGAAGTAGGAACATGTTGATGGCCCCACATTCACATCTTTGCTGTTGAATAGAATTTGCTTATCTGGTTTTTATTTTTATTGCTATTTCTGTATAAATCAACACAAAGAATTGCTAGCAAATAGTAGACACACATAGTACATATATATGTATGTGTGTGTATATATATATATACACACACACACATAAAAATCTACATATATATTCTTATATTCATTTAATCTATATTATGTTTTGTAGAGTATCAAATTTATCTTCATATTTTTTCTTATTATTATGAAAAATGAGAAGATATTTATTGATTCAGTTTTGCTCAAGAATGGATATCTAAACTTCAACATAATATCTTTCATAAAATATTTCTGGAATTAGACTAATGAAACAGGTAAGTATAAAATTATATGAATAATCTAAAAATGAGAAAATGTGCAGCAGCAGAAGAAAACAAATTAAAGGAGCTAAAGAAATAATTAATGACTCACCTTAAATAATTATCTTGGAGCTTGGAATGTAGCTTAGTGGTAGGGTGCTTGCCTAGCATGCATGACGCCCTGGGTTCGATTCCTCAGTACCACATAAACAGAAAAGGCCAGAAGTAGCACTGTGGCTCAAGTGGTAGAGTGCTAGCCTTGAGCAAAAGAAACTCAGGGACAGTGCTCAGGCCCTAAGTTTAAGCCCCAGGACTGGCCAAAAAAAAAAAAAAAGAATGATCTTGGGTTGCTACAAATGACAAATGCTTTGAAATCTGAAACTTTAACCTTAATTTGCAATCTTGAAAATGCATAATCTAAAAGAAATTAGTTATTTTTTTCTCTTCTTTCCCCTTGCTTCCTTCCTTCCTTCCTTCCTTCCTTCCTTCCTTCCTTCCTTCCTTCCTTCCTTCTTTCCTTCCTTCCTTCATTCCTTCCTTTCTTTTTGCTATTCCTGGAGCTTGAACTCAGGGTCTTGGAGCTTCTTTTGCTCAAGGATAGCACTCTACCATTTGAGGCATAGCACCACTTTTGGCTCTTTCTGTTTATGTGGTTCTGAAGAATCAAGCCCAGAGCTTCATGCATACTAGGCACGCACTCTATCACTAAGCCTTATTCCCATCCAGTTATTTCTTTTTAAGTGCTCTTGTGGCTTGAACTCAGAGACTTGTGCTTGCTAGGAAAAATCCTTATCATTTTGATATGTAAAGATTAAAAGGTCCATACCTTTTGCCTTTTTAAAAATTATTTTTCATAAAAGGTCTGCTGTTGCCATGAGCTGGTCATAGTTCATGATCCTGCCTTACTTCTCAGGTAGCTGGAATTCAGGCATGCACCATAGTTTATTTTTCTAAAAAGGGTATTAGTAATGTTTTTGCTTTGGCTAACCTTGAACCATGATTCTCCAATCTCTGCCTCTTGAATAGCTGAGATTACAGGAGTGTGACATAATGCCCTGTCAACATATTTTTTTTTTTAGAAAAATCAGTTGCCTCTGTTAAAGGTGGCAATGTATATCTGAAAGATCAACATCATCAATCTATTTTTTAGAGAAGGATATTGATAAAAATTACAAGTTTCCTCCTCTGTCAATTAGGCCCTATTACCAACAAGACAATCCAGGGACCAACTTCTCCAATGGTATTACCTCATAGTACTCATGTAACAGACCTAGGTATACTTACATTTATAGCTAGAGGCAAATATTATTATTATTATTTATTTCTTTTATAGAGAATACTATCAAAAATAGGATGTCATTGGTCTTATTTTATTAATGGAAAGAATCCAGTTCTAAACTCTACACATGCAAAGTGTCATTTTACTGCATGAAAATAAGATATGCATGAATAAGAAGCTAATTATAATATATACCGTGTTCACCAGCATGCTGTTACCTGTCTAGATAAGTATAAAAGGAAGTAGTGATTGTCATCATTCTTATCCCCAAATCATTATCTTGGAGGAAAGAACAAACTTAAGGGACAAACATAAAGACAAACCTAAGAGAAGAAGAAAACAGAAAAAAGAAGAGGAAAGAAGGACAAAAAAAGAATAGGAGGCCAGTGAAGGCGATTTCTAGGTATCTGTGTGGGAGGAGGGGGGAAGGTTC